TAGCCATGAAAGTCCGCTGGGTGAACTTTGGGCCAGTCACTAGGAGACTGTGAGTTCTAGTCCTGCCTTAGCCATGAAAGTCAGCTGGGGGAACTTTGGGTCAGTCACTCTCTTCCAGCCCAACACTCTGTTGCCTGCTCCCCCCCTTTTTTTTTAAAAAAAACCCCCCACCTTCCATCCCACATGCCAATTGCTGCCTTTAGTTGACATGGGTTGAACTTGGCAAAGCGAAGCTGGGTTGCAAGTGGTGATGAGCTGTAGGCGAAATTGGGAACTGAAAAAAAGGAAAGATTCCCCCCCAAAAAAGGATCCTGGCACAGCCTTCCAGTATTGTTCCCCAGAAAACCCCACAGAAGACTTTCAGGTGGTTATGAGTTGAGTTTGACTTAAAGGGGGCTTTGCCTTGCAACTGAAGGAGATTGGGGGGTTGCCCCCCAAAGTCTCTGGAGGGGCCTAAAATGGCTCTTCACTTTTATTATAATGTACATGGTAGAAGGAGAAGGTGGAAGCTGGTGGATCTTATCCAGAACCTTCTAGTCAGCTGGTGGAGAGATGTCCTGTTTTATGACTTGATGGTATGGAAACTGGCTCCCCTTCCCACAACCGAACTGGCTCCCCTTCCCACAACCGAGCTGAGAAATGACACGGGTGTCCCAACTCAGCCTTTGTGTAGCTCAGGGGTAGTCAACCTTGGCTCAGCTGTAGCTCAGGGGTAGTCAACCTTGGCACAGCTGGCTCAGGAATTCTGGGAGTTGAAGTCCACGAGTCATAAAAGAGCCAAGGTTGACTACCCCTGGTGTAGCTGCTCCAACTCCAGGTTCAAGTGAAGGAAAACCTTCTCCGGAGTCCTTTGAGAAGAAAGAAAAGCGGGGAGACTTGGGACCTGCCTTGGTTACCCCACAAATCCAACTGCATTGGTTTCCCAGCTGATAAACTGGACCTTGAGGGCCCAAGCTGAATTCCCCCCCCCCAAAGTTCAGCCTTTTACAAAATTAGCTATTGTTTCATTTAGAAAAGGGAAAACACCGCTGGTACACATTTCAGTTGTGAGGGGGTGGATGGGAATTTCCTAAATGTATTTAGGTGATTTTGAACAGAGTTTAGGCTCTCGTATACAGCATCACGGTGAATATTATCTTCTAGCCCACCTTTATTATTTTTACAAAGAACTCAAAATGAGAAACGTATCCAACACACCTTCCTCCTCCAATTTCCCCCACAGCAACAACCCTGTGGGGTGGGCTGGGCTGAGGGGGAGAGGGACTGGCCCAAAATCACCCAGCTGGCCTTCACAGCTAAAGTGGGACTAGAACTCTCCGCCTCCTGGTTATTGGGCCAGAGTCCTGTTTTCTAGCCTAGAGCCTTAACCACTAGACCAGGGCTCTCCAAACGTGGCCCTTTTATGACTTGTGGACTTCAACTCCCAGAATTCCCCAGCCAGCATGGCTGGCTGAGGTAGTCTTAAAATGTTAAAACAAGTCTTAAAAGTTGCCAAGTTTGAAGAGCCTTGCATTAGACCAAGCTGGCTAGGAATGAAATCCAGAGTGGTATAAATGTGATATTGTATGTCTTGTTATCCCAAACTCTTTTTTTTTAAAGGAATTACTCCACTTCCCATCATTTCTACAATAGTGGCTGGAAATTTAATTCCTTACTATGCAGACGAATAGATCTGCAAGTCACCGCCCTAAGGGAAGACTCCGCTAGGAAGGAAGGCCTGTTGAATGCAGCAGAATTTATGTCAGGTATTTTACTCATGCATTACTCAGTGTATCAACTCTGCATCGTTTGTGGGCAACGGCTGATATAACGGATTGTTTTTGTTGCAACGCACAGTTTGGAAAACGAGCTCCTTTTAAACGTTGCACGAAAGTGGCAAGCCTTCCTGGTTGCAGAAGGGAAGAAGATCCGGAGAATTTCACAAGATCCCTGCTTGGGGATCTTCCAGAGAGACAGACGAGCAGTCCCCAACTTATGACCACATTGGGGACTAGTAATATTTGTTGTGAAGCAGTGAGGTTGCAAAGTGAGACATCACATGACCTTACATTAACTTTGCTTGTCAGAAGCGGGGTGGAAGGTCACCAATGACAATTCACACACACACACACACACACACACACACACACACACACACACACACACACACACACACGGATGCTGCAGTGGTTAAGAGTGAGGTCCGGTTGTGAGTCACTTATTTTTAGTATCCTTGTAACTTTGAATCATTGTTAAACAAACGGTCGTAAATTGAGGACTACGTATATTGAGGGCTCCATTTGACATCCTTAGATGTGTCTTACAATTTCAGGGGAGGTCACCTGAATGGGGTAGAGCTATTGGGACTTAGTTTTGCACAAATTGTCCGCCCCATCCCCTAATTGAACAACTGCAGTGATTCAATTTAACAGCTGTGGCAAGAAAGGCCGTAAAACGGGGCAAACTCACCTAAATGTTTCACTTAACAACAGAAATGTTGGACTCGATTGTGGACGTAAGCTAAGGACTACCTGGGCCTAGAGATCAAATTCTCCTGGATCTGTAGGTTTGTTTTGTTTTGTTTCCATCTGTGCAGAATTAAGCCAAACATAATTCTTCCCTAGAGACTAGTGCTTCTGAGCATACACAGAGTCTCTTTTATGGCAGGATCCTTTTGCTAGGCTCTGGAGGAGGGCAACTCTCCCGAGGAGTTTTCTAGAAGAGGGAAATCTGGAACCGGAGGAAGGCTTCGGAGAAAGCAAACTTACTTTCCATCGCTTCCAGTAAACAAGTCAGCTAAAAAAAAAAAAGCTATTCTAGAGAAATCAGGAAGGGATTCTCAAGCACAAGGCAGAAAACCGGCGGCCTCTTTTGCAGGGGGAAAACTTCCCAGATCCCTGGGGGGGGGGTGTATTTCAGCCCAGCGGGATTCACATGGCTGTTTTAATGAGAAAGGACACCTTGTCTTCATCAAGACAACAGTCCACAGATGGAAGCCCATCACATCTGGACTTGGGCTTCCTTCCCTCTTGGGAAGGGCTGCTCAGGTCGACTTGGGTCCAGGGTTCAAATGCAGCTTTCCTGCAAGGGGGAAGGGGCGTGCCCATCGATTGATTAAAGGCAGGCAGTACAGGCTTTCCCCACCCCTCCAAAGGGGGACCACCTCCCCACTTGGCCAACTTTTGCATCTTTTGCATCCCAGAGTTTTCTAGACCCACTCTGAGGGGCTTCCTCGGAAGTAAATCTCAGCCAGGAGCCACAGCCTGGCCTCTCACCTCCCCCCAGTCCCTTTATTCCCAGCAACTGGGGAGGGCCCCCCCAAAACCTTCCTTCTTTCAACCCTTACCAGCTCCCCTGCAACAATCCCAGGGGAGGGGTCCCCCGCTGCTCCCTGGCTTGTTTCCTTGCAGACGTTTTTATTACCCAAACCTCGGTGCTAATCTGAGGATGTTACCTAGTTTGGGTCATGAAACGTCTGCAAGAAAACAAGCCAAGGGCCCCTCAGGTTCAACAAAGATTCTCCTTGACTGGATCCCAGGGGATCCCACGGCAAGATAAGATCTGGGGTAGGCTGGAGAAAGCCTTTCAGCAGGTAAATAAATAAGAAACGGAGGGAAACAGGTTCTTTGCCCCACCGTCCCTTGCTGGACCCAAAGATGCTTGGAAAGCATCTTTGGGGCCTCTCATCGCCCGGGTACCAAATCAGGGGAGCAGCAGCTTGGGGGACCCACAGCAGCCCCTCTGCAAAGGGCTCCTTCCCCTCCTATCCATCCATCCATCTATCCATCCCCCGGGTACCAAATCAGGGGAGCAGCAGTTTGGGGGACCCATCGCCAGGGTACCAAATCAGGGGAGCAGCAGTTTGGGGGACCCACAGCAGCCCCTCTGCAAAGGGCTCCTTCCCCTCCTATCCATCCATCCATCCATCCATCCATCCCCCGGGTACCAAATCAGGGGAGCAGCAGTTTGGGGGACCCATCGCCAGGGTACCAAATCAGGGGAGCAGCAGTTTGGGGGTCCCACAGCAGCCCCTCTGCAAAGGGCTCCTTCCCCCTCTTATCCATCCATCCATCTATCCATCCCCCGGGTACCAAATCAGGGGAGCAGCAGTTTGGGGGACCCATCGCCAGGGTACCAAATCAGGGGAGCAGCAGTTTGGGGGACCCACAGCAGCCCCTCTGCAAAGGGCTCCTTCCCCTCCTATCCATCCATCCATCTATCCATCCCCCGGGTACCAAATCAGGGGAGCAGCAGTTTGGGGGACCCATCGCCAGGGTACCAAATCAGGGGAGCAGCAGTTTGGGGGTCCCACAGCAGCCCCTCTGCAAAGGGCTCCTTCCCCTCCTATCCATCCATCCATCTATCCATCCCCCGGGTACCAAATCAGGGGAGCAGCAGTTTGGGGGACCCACAGCAGCCCCTGTGCAAAGGGCTCCTTCCCCTCCTATCCATCCATCCATCGCCAGGGTACCAAATCAGGGGAGCAGCAGTTTGGGGGACCCATCGCCAGGGTACTAAATCAGGGGAGCAGCAGTTTGGGGGTCCCACAGCAGCCCCTCTGCAAAGGGCTCCTTCCCCTCCTATCCATCCATCCATCCGTCCATCGCCAGGGTACTAAATCAGGGGAGCAGCAGTTTGGGGGTCCCACAGCAGCCCCTCTGCAAAGGGCTCCTTCCCCTCCTATCCATCCATCCGTCCATCGCCAGGGTACCAAATCAGGGGAGCAGCAGTTTGGGGGACCCACAGCCAAGGGGTCCTTTCTCTCCTATCCATCTATCCCTCCATCCCTCCATCTTCTTCCTCTCTCTCTCTCTCTCTTTCTCTCCTCCCTCCCCCCCCCCTCAGAGGCGAGAAGGAGGAAGGGATCGGGGGAAAAAAGAACTGCAGCGAGACGGCGGCGAGTGAGTGAGCGAGTGGCGCAGCCAATCCGGACGGGCCGTTCCGAAGTTTGCCTTTTATGGCGAGAGCCGCGGCGGCCCGGCCCGTATAAAACCCGGCGCGCGGCGGCCGAGCGCGCAGTCGTCAGGCGCCCCTTCGGTCCTCTTTGTCCGCCCGGTGGATCGCTCAGCCGCCTCGCTTGCGCCTTTCTCCCTCCCCCCGCCCGAAGGGTCTCCAGGAAGAGAAGCCCCGCCGAGCCTTGAGAAGCAGCCGCCTCCCCCCAAAAGGTAAGCCGGGCCGAGGAAGAGGAGGAGGAGAGGAAGGCGCACCTGCCTGCCTTGGCTGGGTTGCAACGTGGCGGGGATGCGCGCAATGCTGGGGAGGGTCTTGGGGGGGCTGGGGGAGGGCGCTGGGCTGTTGGGGGGCCGGGGGGCGCCTTGGCAAAGAGGGGGTTCGACCCTCCCTCCCTTCCCTTCCCGGGTCCCCGGTGTTTTGGAGAGGCTCGGCGCTCCTGGAGGCCGCGCAAGGATTTGGAGAGCCCCCCTCCCCGGATGGGGTTTGGGGTGCGCCCCTGCCCTGCTGGGGCGGGGCGCCTGCCAGGCGTGCCTATATGGGGGGCTACTGGGGGCAGAGGGGTCCGGGCGGAGGGGGGGGAAGGTGCAAAGGTAGAGGAAGAAGGTGCAAAGGTGGGGGTTGCAGGGGACCCCCCCCCTAAAGGCTTTGGTGGTCTGGGGGCGCGCCGGCCGGCCGGCCCGGAGCGGGACCCCCGGGGCTTGGAAGCGGGCCTCGCCATGCTGGCCTGTTTGGAAAGGAGGGGAGTCAGCCCAGGCGCTGAGTTCGAATTGAGAGGAGGAGGCGGCGCAGGGCGAGGCGGCTGGTCGTTCCCGGTTTGGCGGGGCTCCGTTGCTTAACGGCTTTAAGGAGGGGGGGGGGAGACGGAAAGGGGGGTGCCCCCCCATCCCCGACAGGACTGTGAAGGGGTTTTCCGGGGGCCAAAGTCGGCTTTTCCATTGTAAGAGCCACGTGGGTGGAGAAGGGCGAGGAGGAGGAGGGGGGGGTAATCGATCAATCATAAGCAAGTCTTGAAGAGGGTCTCTTTGTTTCGTGGGTCTGTTGGCTGGGGGGGGTGCGGGGGGGGGTTTGAACTCCCTTAAGGGATTTGATAACCCCCCCACCCCCCCCAGGAAATGCTGCAGAATTTCCCTCTGGGGCGCCTCTCCGCTCTCCTTCCAGCCCTCCCGATTGCATGCTTGGGAAGGGGTCACAACTAGCAAGCGGCTAGTCCTCATTTAAACGGAGGAAGGAAGGGGGTCGTAAGCCCCTCGTGTTGGAGCGGAGATTGTTGGTTTTTTTTTTTGTTTTTGTATTTTTTGTTAGCATCCTCTGGCATGGGGTGTACCTGCTCTCGTTCTCTTCTCTCTCTTGCCCCCCCCCCCCGCGCCCATTTTGGGCCTGGAATTGTTTTCTCTCGGGGTTCATCCCGACCTTGCAAAGGGAATGCCTAGCCCTGTTGATCCTGAGCTAATCCAGATCGCACCCCCCTTTTTTGGGGGGGGTGGGGGGGAGAGAGAGAAAAGACAGGGTCTTCCCGTGGGACAGACAGCCTCGTGCACTTGGGCGTGGGCGTGCCTCGCCTGGCTAGCTTTTGCAAGCAGCAACCCAGCTGGGGTGGGTAGCTAAGCCTTAGGAGCCCACCCACCCACCCAAAGCTGGTGAGCATGCAGTCTAGGGCGGGGGGGGGGTTCCTCCTGCTTGCCTGGACGGATTAGGCAGGGAGGGGGGGTAGTGAGGAGCTGGCCTTTGGGCGTGGCCATGCCCCCCCCTCCTTGCTGGGCAGGGGGGGGCTGGTGGGCAGGCAGGGCGTGGCCAAGCGCCGGGAAGAAAGCTGGCTGCCGGCTGCATCTTCACGATTGCCTTTTATGGTAATAGTGCGAGCCGGCAGGCAGCCCCGTTCAGCTTCCGAAGGCTGCCCGAGAGCGCGGTGCGCGCCATCTAGCGGCCGCTGGAGGCATAGGGAAGAAAGCGGGCAAAGAGGAAGTGGGTGGGGCCCTGCCTGCTGGCTTGGCTCTTGGCTGGTTCCTTCAACGGTCTTCCTCCCCAATTCCCAGATCGCCATGGATGATGATATTGCAGCGCTCGTGGTCGACAACGGCTCCGGCATGTGCAAAGCCGGCTTCGCGGGAGATGATGCGCCCAGAGCCGTCTTCCCCTCCATCGTGGGTCGCCCCAGACATCAGGTACGTCCCCGGATCCCTCCAGTCTTGGTTTGCAGCTCCTTCCGAGCCACAAGGGAGTATGGAAATAAGATTGGGCAAGTTGCTAGACCTCAAGGACTCCTTTCTAGCCTTCCTGGACACAGCAGGTTCTCACAGCCTTGCAGGTGGGAACCTAGGTTTATCCTAGTTTGATCCCTGAGTTGATCTTCCTTGTCCCCCTGCCCATTCTTAGTGTATCTCATCTTGGCCTTTTCTTGACCAGCTTGGAATCCAGGAAACAAATCCTTGAGCAGGTTCACTTCTCAAAAAACCTGCTTTCAGCAAGGTTTCTTGCACAAGCCATGACTGGTATGGCATGCCACCCTCTAAACCATGGTTTGCAATTGATAACAGGCAGGCTTCCGTGCCAACTTTGAACAAACTACTACTTGACTATGATACCACAAAGAGACTAGCTCCTCTGTGCCTGAAACTGAGTGGACTTCGACTCCCAGAATTCCTCCTGTCAGAATTTTAGGAACCCAGGAATTGTTGGCAGGGGAATTCTGGGAGTTGAAGTCCACCCATCTTCAAGGCGTTGAGAAACTTGGCTTAAACCTTACAAAGGGTTCCTTATGTCCCAGAAATGTTTTTTTTTTCTCCAAAAGGCAACTGGACTTTCTTGTTGGTTTTTTAAAAATGTTTCGCTTCACATCCAAGAAGCTTCTTCGCTTCTAATGATTTTCAAAGAACAAAACAAGTCCAGTTGCCTTTTGGGGGGGAAAAAGAAAGCCCCTTTGGGGGACCCCCATGACCCCTGGATGGTTGAGAATCTCCATAGACAAAAGGTGCCTTAACGCATCCATCCAAATGTTAGGTTTAAAGCCAGACCGTTGAAAAAGCAGCATTGACTAAGTTGTGTTGGCTTGAGACGGCCATCTGCGCAGGGCTTTCGTCAATGGGCTGTGTGGCTATTTTATTTCAAAGTCTTGATTTTCCTCTCTCCACAGGGTGTGATGGTTGGGATGGGCCAAAAAGACAGCTATGTTGGAGACGAGGCGCAGAGCAAGAGAGGTATCCTGACTTTGAAGTATCCCATTGAACATGGCATTGTCACCAACTGGGATGACATGGAGAAGATTTGGCACCACACCTTCTACAATGAACTCAGAGTCGCCCCGGAAGAGCATCCCGTGTTGTTGACAGAAGCCCCCCTCAACCCCAAGGCCAACAGAGAGAAGATGACCCAGGTGTGTATTTGCGTGTGGTCCCTTGCAAAACCTGCCCAGCATTTCGCCTCTATACTTTTTTGTTTTCTTCTCCTGCCTACCAAAAGGATACTTTGCAATCTTTTCATTCTCTTGGTTCATCTTTTTTTCTTTCTTTCTTTTTTTCTTTTATTTCCCCCAGCTCTGCAGGATTTTCTTTTCTGATCTGAATCTTCTCTTGCTGGATCTGGAAAGGTTTTTATCTGCTCTTTCAAATAAAAAAAAACAAACCTGGCTTTCTCTCTTCTGTTTGTGTATTTGGCTTGTGAGCATCACTGCTTCTTCTTTCTCACATTCTTTCTTTGTCTCTTCTCCCCCCCCCCCCAAAAAAAAATATAAAATACTAACTTCGGCTTGTTCTGAGTGATTTCTGTCATGTTTTCTCAAAATTGTAAAACTGAAATTTGCCCAATATGGAAAGGGTGTGGTTTGCCTTAACACCTGCCATGAAGGTTTGTATCTGTCCGGCATGTGTTAGATTTTTTCCAGTGGTGTTTTCTGCGCATGGTGTTGATGAGGCCTTCTGTTGGCCAAGATCTTCACGGCTGTCTCTCTCCTCCCATCTAGATCATGTTTGAGACTTTCAACACCCCAGCCATGTACGTTGCCATCCAGGCTGTGCTCTCCCTGTACGCCTCTGGCCGTACCACCGGCATTGTGATGGACTCTGGTGATGGTGTCACCCACACTGTGCCCATCTACGAAGGTTATGCCTTGCCCCACGCCATCCTCCGTCTGGACCTGGCTGGCCGCGACTTGACCGACTACCTCATGAAGATCTTGACCGAGAGAGGCTACAGTTTCACCACCACAGCCGAACGAGAAATTGTGCGTGACATCAAGGAGAAGCTGTGCTACGTTGCCCTGGACTTTGAGCAGGAGATGGCCACCGCGGCGTCCAGTTCCTCTCTGGAGAAAAGCTACGAACTGCCCGATGGACAAGTGATCACCATCGGCAACGAGCGGTTTAGGTGCCCGGAAGCTCTCTTCCAGCCATCTTTCTTGGGTAAGTCCTGAAGGACCACGAGCTTCAAGTAGAATCTGAACTTGGGTCGAACGGCTATCTTGAAGGCTCTCTGTGGTGTCCAGTTGTCTTCATGGTGGGCATCTTCTCTTGGCAGGTATGGAATCCTGTGGCATCCACGAAACCACCTTCAACTCCATCATGAAGTGTGATGTTGACATCCGCAAAGATCTGTATGCCAACACCGTCCTCTCTGGTGGCACCACCATGTACCCTGGCATTGCCGACAGGATGCAGAAGGAAATCACCGCCCTGGCACCCAGCACGATGAAAATCAAGGTAAGACTTGAGCCTGAACGACGTGGAGATGGGGGCCAGGTTGAGTGTGGTTCTACAAGCTTGGCTTTGTGATGGCCACAAGCAGCAAGCTTGGGTTAACAACCACAATTTCGCTCTCCCTCTTATATAGGGGGAAAGCTTGCGTGTCCCCCAAGCTGCTTGATGATTTATGGAAGTGTTTGGGGCAAGAATTGGGAAACAGTGGTCTGGACCCACCCATTCTTGAAATAGGAACATTGGATCTTGAGGACCAGTAACTTGATTCTGCCTTAGTTCTAAGTTCTGATTGCTTCCTCTTTTCTTCCTATAGATCATTGCCCCACCTGAGCGTAAATACTCAGTCTGGATCGGAGGGTCCATTCTGGCCTCCCTCTCCACCTTCCAGCAGATGTGGATCAGCAAGCAGGAATACGACGAATCCGGGCCATCCATCGTCCATCGCAAATGCTTCTAAACCAGGACTTAGTTACCACCATAGCATTTTTTTTCCTTTTTTTTTTTTTTTTGACCAAAAAAAAAAAAAATCCCCATAACTGCGCATAAGCGAAAAAGTTTTTTGAGAATTGGCATGGCTTTTGTTTGTTCATTTGGCGCTTGACTCAGGATATAAAAACTGGAACGGTGAGAGAAAAAGGTTTTGTGACGGTAGCCTTTATTATTAAAAAAAATGCAAAAAAAGTTTTGGAGCGAACACCACTCCCTCTCCGACCCCTCCCCACCGACCTCCCCCCCTCCCCAGTTCTGCAGTGCATCTGAGGACCTCGATTGTATGTGTGTTTCTTTTTTTGAAAACGATAAAAAGTCATTCCAAATAGTGTATTAACGCATTGAGAGGAAGTTAAACCCGGCCTCTGTGAAGGCAGCAGCCCAGCTCTTTTCAAAGAGCAGGAAACAAAGATTTTTTGAGGTTTATTTTTTTTTAAATAGAAAGTATTAGCTTGTCTGTGAATCATGATTCAAGTGTCTCTTGTCTCTTGCGCCTTAAAACAAAACTTAAAAAAAAAAAATAGCCACACTTGATTGTCATCTTTGGGTGTTTTTTTTTTTTATTTAAAATTAAGATTATTTTGGGTCAAAAAAAAAAAAAGGATGGCTGCGTGTGGTTTCTCTTCTTCCCAATGGACCGTGTGAAGGGTTTTACAGTCTCTCCTCCCTTCTATATCCCCCCCCCACTTCCCAAAGGGAAGCACTATTTGCACCCTTTTGATGCCAGTATGTATAAGGGGTACCAGGGCAGAGGGAGGGGAAGGCAAAACTACACACTCAAAAAAAAAACAAAAAAAACCCCAGTTTCAAATAAAGATGCACAACCGTAACTGTGGATTGTTTGGTTTTTATCAAGTCAACAGGTATCGTTCAGCGTTTGAATTGGTGGATGGGAACTTGGCACAAAGTTAGCACAAGTGAACTCACTTGTCCTTTGAGAATCTGCTGCTTTAGACTCTTTTCCCAAGCTCCCTTTTTAGTCAACATGGTTTGGGAATTCTGGGAGTTAAAGTCTCACAAGTCTTAAAAGTTGACAAGGATATCCAGCCTCAAAGGATATATTTATCCCAAATAAATGGAGACCTACCTAGATTAGTTCTTCACACTTGCAACTGAACCAAAGCCCCAATTTGGACTACCAGCAGCTAGCCATGTAGGCTGTTGCTTTCTTTTTAAGATGGCCGGAGAATGGAATATTATTTTGGATTTTATGCCTCTTAATTATTTTGTAAGTGTAACTCAAGGCAGTAAACCCACCTAGTACTCCTTTCTATTTTTTAAACAACCCTGTGAGGTGGATTGGGCTGCGAGAGGGTCAATCTAAAACTAATTTTGAAGCCTGGCAATTTGAAGATGGGTGGGCTTTAATTTTCCAGAATCCCTCCTTTTAAAGATTTCCAGGAGTTGAAATTCCATGCATGGCTGGCTGGGAGTTGAACATCTTCAAGTGAAAAAACACTTCTAAAAGCTGGAAGAGCAAAACCAGCAATTCCTATGTTTATTTCAGCTTCAGTTGCTTATCTCTTCTAAGCAATATTCCAATTATCTTTATACAAAACATTCTGTAGACAGTTTAGGCAAACTGCAGCCGGATTACGGCAGGACATAATTTCACAGGTGATAAAACCCATAGCTTGCAAGAACCAGTAGTAGCATCCCCACAATCCATGATGCCCAATACAACCAATACCATTTTAGCCATTTGTCAATCCTCCAGTGTCTTCCTCCGCATGTTTCCAACCAATAACAATCCTGAGCCATTTTTTTTCAAACTTGGCAATTGGAAGGGGGCTGGGCCTCAGCTCCCAGGATTCCCCCTGCAGTAATTCTGGGAAGTCCGTGCATGGTGATGACGGGGGAATTCTGGGAGTTGCAGCCTATGGATGCTGGTGGAGGAATTCTGGGAGTTGAGGTCTGTGTATGTTGGAGGGGGAATTCTGGGAGCTGAAGTCTGTAGTGGGGGAATTCTGGGAGTTGCAGTCCATATGGTAGTGGGGGAATTCTGGGAGTTGCAGTCCATATGGCAGTGGGGGAATTCTGGGAGTTGCAGTCCACCCAGCCTGAAGCTCCTAACTTTGAAAAAAACCAGATGTGGGAGCAAGCTGCCTTTCAAATGGCCATTGCACAGGCTTGGAAACCCCAAGATCAGGATTTGCAGACCCTCGCGTGCAGCTTGCAGGGGAGCCCCCCCAAATCCAAATGCAAGGATCGCGGGGTCCCCCCCTCCAGGTTGCAAAAACCCGGACAGTTTCTTTGTTTCCCCCCCTATATCCCGCCCCCAGGGCTGCCTGATTGGAGCGTTCCAGCTCCAGGAGGCCACGCCCATCATGGCGCTGCCGCCCGCGGCGCCTCACCCAAGATGGCGGCCCAGACAGAGCTCAGGAGCGGAAGTGAAGTCACGAGCGCGCCGGAAGTCCCCGCGTCGCTTCGGCGTGCCGGCTGAAGGGGAGCCGTATGAGGCTGGCGACGGAGGGAACAGCCTCCCAGCTGGCTCCGACGGGGGTCTTTGCCCGACCATGGCCGCCTCCTCCGGAGAGGTAAGCCCGGCGCTTCGGCCTTCTCCCTCGGGCCCAGTGCTCCGCCTTCCCCGCAAGCCTCGGCGTCTCCATGGCAACCCCTGACTCGCAGGGCACGTCTGAACGCGGGAGGAGGCCGCGTGTCAGGGCAGGCGGTGCCGCGCGGGACGTTGTTTGGCGATTTGGAGGGCCCTGAGTCCCGGGGGAGGGGGTCTCGTTTCTGGCAAGGGACCCTGTGGCCTTGGAGGCCCAGAGGGGCTGGGGAGATTAATATTTTGTGCAGGCCGGCGAGTGCTGAGGGACCGTAAGTGCTTGCCCCCTTCCGGGTGTGCCGGACCCCCTTCTTATGACCTCCCACCAGCTGCTTGGACATTGCTTGTTAAGGGCGTTCGAGACTGCCTTTAGGGGACCATCTCTCCCATCGTCCACAGCCTGCCGGGCCAATAGGCCTTGCCATGGTCTGGCCTTCCCTTCCTCGCCCAGGTTTCTGAAAGGGAGGAAACGCAGGGCAGGAAGAATGGAGAGTCGGGCCAGCAGGCAACCATACAAGAGGAGTTGATGATGATGAAAGGAAGGAAGGAAAAAAGAGAAAGAAAGAGAGGAAGGAAGGGAAAGAAAGAAGAAAGAAAAAGATTGGAAAAAAGGGAGGAAGGGAAAGAAAGAAAGAGAAAGAGAGAGAAAGAAAGAAAGAGAGAAAAAGATATTAATCTTGGAAAGCCAGTTTGGTTGTAGTGGTTAAGGCTAGAAGCCAAGAGACTGGGAGTTCTAGTCTCATTTCAGACACAAAGCCAGCTGGGTGACCAGTTGTGTCTTTAAATCATCCACCAAGCTGTCTTTTTAGGGCAGAGTTCTAAAGATGGATAAACGTGTAAAAATGATAGTAATAATAATAATAATTTTATTGTCACTTTGAATGTACACCAATCGGCATACATCAAAATGAAATAGTGCAACAGTTCTCAGTTGATTGAGTCCTTTGATGATTCAGACCGATTTCTTCCCCAGCTTTTCATTCCTACTGTGTCTTTTCTGAGTCCTCGTTTTCCGCTTGCAGGACGTAACAAGTGAGGAGAACCGGGAGGAGAACATCGGCATGAACCTGATGGAGTTTTCAGATGAAATCCTCTTACACATCTTGCGATACACTCCTGTGTCAGATCTTGTCTTGAATGTCCGAAGGGTCTGTCGGAAACTCTCCGCCCTTAGTCTTGACAAAAGCCTCACTCAGACCGTGATCCTGCATAAAGATTATCAGGTGAGCAGGGGCTGTCAAAGGCGGTCCAGAATTAGGAGGAAGTTGGGTGGCACTGAGTATGGTGTGTATTTGATGCCTGAAGTTTATAAAAATACTAAAGTGGGACACAAATAAATAATAAATAGAATAAACGCACCTAGCAGTGCATCTTGTTTGATTTGAAGAGATTTCCAGAGGCCTCTTAACATCAGAGATGGCCTTTGGGTGGGTGGGTGGGTGGATGGATAGATGGTTGGATGGATGGATAGATAGATGGATGGATGGATGGATGGATGGATGGATGGATGGATGGATGGATAGATAGATAGATAGATAGATAGATAGATAGATAGATAGATAGATAGATAGATAGATAGATAGATAGATAGATAGATAGATAGATAGATAGATGATAGATAGATAGATAGATAACCTTTATTGGCACACATTAAAAATGAAATTTAGTTGCTTGCTCTCAAAATACATATTTAAACATGCTATCTACAACATATGTATAAAAGTATGGAAGGGAAGATTTTGGTGTTTCCACCAGAGTCAGTGGTGGTTACTTTCTCATGCCCTTCCACATGGTTTCTCTAGGACCTGCCCATGATCATAAAGTTCAGTCTTCCGTCCCGCTTTATGCTCAAAACTAGGCCTGGCCTAACTGGGATCCTTTGAGCTCCTAAAGTTCTCCTTGATGGCTTCCATGCAGGTGGACAAAGACAAGGCGAAGCAGCTGATGAAGGAGATTGGGAAAGGGATCCAGGAGCTGGACCTGACCGGCTGTTACTGGTTGCCTGGCTTGACCATCGACCAAGTGACCCGCTGCAAGAATTTGGTGAAGCTGAACCTGTCCGGCTGCCACCTCACCTCCCTTCGCCTCTCGAAGATGCTCTCCGCCTTGCAGCAGCTTCGCTCATTGGCCATCGACGTGAATCCCGGGTTCGACGCCTCCCACTTGAGCAGCGAGTGCAAGGCCACCCTGAGCCGGGTGCTGGAGTTGAAGCAGACCCTCTACACCCCGTCCTACGGGGTGGTGCCCTGCTGCACTAGCCTGGAGAAGCTGCTGTTGTACTTTGAGATCCTCGATCGATCCCGGGAGGGTTTAATCATCTCGGGACAGCTTATGGTGGGAGAGAGCAACGTGCCCCATTATCAGAATCTACGGGTCTTCTACGCCCGGCTGGCTCCTGGCCCGGTCAACCAGGAAGTGGTGAGGCTCTACTTGGCAGTGCTGAGTGACCGGACTCCGGAGAAGCTTCACGCCTTCCTCATCTCTGCCCCGGGTGGATTCGCCCAGAGCTGCGCCGTGAAAAACCTCTTGGATTCCATGGCCAGGAACGTGACCTTAGACGCCCTGCAGCTGCCTCGCTCCTGGATGAACGGTTCCAGCCTCTTGCAGCACTTGAAGTTTAGCAAGCCTTTTTATTTCAACTTCAGCCGCTGCAGTCTGTCCGGCGGGCAGCTGGTCCAGCGGGTGCTGAACAGCGGCAAAGACCTGCGCAGTTTGGTCGGCTTGAACCTGAGCGGCTGCGTCCACTGCCTGTCGCCCGATTCCTTGTTGCGGAAAGTGGAAGACGACATTGACAGCGGTATCGCGGAAGCCCTGGTGGACGCCTGCTGCAACCTGAGGCACCTCAACCTCTCCGCCGCCCACCATCACAGCCCGGAGGGCCTGGGCAAGCATCTCTGCCAGGTCCTGGCTCGTCTGAAAGGCCTCCTGTCTCTGGCCCTGCCTGTGTGCGCCGTGGCCGACAGGGCCGCCGCAATTGCCGACAGGACTTCAGTGCAGCCGGTGGCTCACTCGGTCTCTCAAGGGTTTGGGAAAAGGGTCCGGATTGGGGTGCAGACCTATCCCAGGAACTGCTTGGAACAGAGCAATCCCAGACCGCAGTCCTCCGTCTTTTGGACTCTTCTGGAGAGTCTCCCCTTTCTGGAAAAGTTGGAGCTGATCGGCTCCAGTTTTTCCTCGGCCATGCCCCGGAACGAGCCGGCCATTCGGAACTCGCTGCCCCCCTGCAGCCGGGCACAGCACATCGGGGACGCCGAGGTGGCTGCCATCGGCCAGCTGGCCTTCTTGCAGAGCCTCACCTTGGCTCAGTTGCCCAATATCCTCACGGGCTCTGGGCTGGTTGACATTGGGGCGCAGTGCCAGCGCCTGCGGGCTCTCTCCTTGGCCAACCTGGGCCTGATGGGGAAGGTGATGTACGTGACGGCTCTGGTGGACATGCTGAAGCACTGCAGGTGTTTGCAGGATCTCAGGTGAGAGAACACAAGCAGCTTTTCACCCCTGTGCTTTTCCTGTTTTAGCAGCCAGGGATCCTTCGGTGTCACTGTCCCAAAGGAAGCTAAAACAGATAAGAACGGTTGCAGGATTTGGGTTTAGAGAAAAGAAGGACTAGGGGAGACCTGATAGCAGTATTCCAGTACTTGAGGGGCTGCCCCAAAGAAGAGGGGGTCAACTTATTTTCCAAAGCACCAGAAGGCAAGGAACACTGGATGGAAACTAATCAAGGAGAGAAGCAACCTGGAACTAAGGAGAAACTTCCTAACAGTGAGGACAATCAGTGGAACGGCTTGCCTCCAGAAGTTGTGGGTGCTCCAACACTGGAGGTTTTTAAGAAGAGATTGGACAGGCACCTGTCTGAAATGGCATAGGGTCTCCTGCCTGAGCAGGGGGTTGGACTAGAAGACCTCCAGGGTCCCTCCCAGCTCTGTATTCTGTTTGCTGGTTCTGTAGGTGCTTTTCAAAAGGCACTTGGGCTTTCTTGTCTTTTTGCTTTTCTTGAAAACGTTTCACTTCTTATCCAAGAAGCTTCTTCAATTCTTCTTCAGAAGAAGCAGTTTTTCAGGTGAAAAGTGAAATGTTTTCAAGGGGGAAAAAAAAGCCTTTTGAAAATCACCTTTGAGATAACCCCGGCCTGGATGATTGAAAATCTCCACGGTCTTCTATGTCATTCCATGGGAGAGGAAAAGGGGTTTTTTTTTCCGGCTCCACAGCCTCTCAAGTCACCTTGCCCTGAAGTCTTCCACCAGTCTTACCCCTTGAGATGAAATAGGCGTGGTCCAAGAGGTGCAGGTAGCCCCCCCCCTTAAGAGCTATCCTTGTTTTGTTTTGTTTTTTGAAACACATTTTATTGGTTTTTTAATTCTTAAGACAAAGTACTCAGGACACACCGTAGTGGTGGGGTAATCAAACATTCAAAAATAAAACCATATATCAATAACTCAACTCAATACATTCAGTGTCCCCTCTCTATTTTCCCTCAAATAGCATAATACATTTAAGATGTCCCATTTCTAATTTATATTTCTATAACTGCCAAACCTGTTTTTAAAACTTTGTAAATTTACAATTACCACAATCAAATTTAGCTTTAAATCAACAAGTTATCAGTTGGGGTATCCCTTCCAAATATATTCTAATTCTTAACCTCTCACATCCCTCGTTTTATCGCAAATCTCATTTATTTCTTCTCCCACTACACAATACTATCAGGAGTAGAGCAACAGCGCCATCTGGTGGATTGAACGGCAAATTGCAAGCTGGGGTATTTTTCCCCCCAGCCCTGCTCTGTTCTTTTTTTTCTTCTTTTTTTAGTGCTTTCTTACTCTTTATTCAATAATCACTGCAATGGTACTTTAAGGCCCTGCTCTGTTCTTGAAGACAATGGCTGCAAAGTGCCCCTAAATCAGGTAGTAGGCGACCTTGGCTCTTTTATGCTGGCTCAGGAATGCTGGGAGTTGAAGTCCACGAGTCATAAAAGAGCCAAGGTTGCCTACCCCTGCCCTAAATTGATTTCCACCACGCCACCCCCCCAACCAGAGTGTTAGATAATAGTTCCCCCAATTTCCCCTCTTTTTTCCTGTATGCGTTTGGCTCTTTAAGGATTTCATAAGGTCTCTCTCCTCAACTGCAGGAATTGGGTATTTCTAGTTTAATTAAGAGAAGGACCAGGGGGGGGTGACATGATAGCAGTCTTCCAGTATTTGAGGGGCTGCCACAAAGAAGAGGGGGGTCCACTTATTCTCCAAAGCCCCTGAAGGCAGGAGAAGCAGCAATGGAGGGAAACTAACCAAAGAGAGAAGCAACCCGGAACTAAGGAGAAATTTCCTGACAGTGAGAACAATTAACCAGTGGAACCACCTGCCTCCAGAAGCGGTCCTTTCCTCCCCCCCACTTCTTCCCCCCTCCCTCCCCCACTGCAGAAGCAACCCCAAGCAAACACTGGAAGTTTTTTTTAGAAGAGATTGGACAGAAATTTGTCTGAAATGGTATAGGGTTTCCTGCCTGAGCAGGGGGTTGGACTAGATGACCTCCAAGTGACCTGCAAGGTCCCTTCCAATATTATTGTTGTGTTGTTGTTGTTGTTGTTGTTATTATTATTATCTAGTCAAACTCTATCCAATCAACCCTTCTTTTTTCTCCTAGGCTTGAACAGCCCTACTTCCACGCCAACGCCCAGTTCTTCCACGCCCTCAGCTGCTGCTCCTCCCTGCAGCGTCTTTGCATCATCTCCCGGAGTGGGACACTGCAGTCCGATGCCGTGATGTCGTTCATGACCGCCTGCCCCGAGGTGATCATGTGCCACATGTTCGTGGGGGAGTCGCTCACCGTTTGCAAAAGCCTGCAGCAGAGCCTAATACGCAGGTGAGAGGGGGGGTGGACTCGCATCCAGGTTCTCCTTTGGTGTGTTCCCGTTGGGCCATTAATCCGGGCAGTGTGTTTCTGATGATGATTTCCCTTCTTTCTGAACAGACCTTTCTTTCGTTGCCTACCCCTGCCCTAAATTGATTTCCACCACGCCACCCCCCCCACCAGAGTGTTAGATAATAGTCCCCCCAATTTCCCCTCTTTTTTCCTGTATGCGTTTGGCTCTTTAAGGATTTCATAAGGTCTCTCTCTCTCCTCAACTGCAGGAATTGGGTCTTTCTAGTTTAATTAAGAGAAGGACCAGGGGGGGTGACATGATAGCAGTCTTCCAATATTTGAGGGTCTGCCACAAAGAAGAGAGGGGTGGTCCACTTATTCTCCAAAGCCCCTGAAGGCGGGAGACGCAGGAGTTGAAGTCCACTAGTCTTAAACTTGGCAAGGTTGGATACCCCTGTCTTAACTGAATTCGTCTAAAGCAGTGGTTCTCAACCTTTTTAATGCCGCGACCCCCCAACCGGTCGTAAGTCGAGGACTAAACCGGTCGTAAGTCGAGGACTTTCCCTGCCCGGGAGCGCCGCGCATGCGTGGTTCCGCCCCCTGCGCCGGCCGAGGCGTAGCTGGCAAGCGGCAGAGACGGAGCAGGCCGACCACCAGCTGGCCCAGCCCAAGGGAGGTAAAGCACCCGCCGGAAAAGGGGGAAAAAATGGCGGACAGCCTTGCTTGGCGACCCCCGTGAAATGGTCGATCGACCCCAAATGGGGTCGCGACCCATAGGTTGAGAACTACTGGTCTAAAGGGAGCTTTCCCATCCCCGTAAGCTCCCCCCATCCACCAAATCCAGAAGTTATGTCTCTGTTACTCCTTTCTTCACCTGCCCACTGATCTAAACTTGGATCTCCTTTTCGTGTGGCGTTACGTTCCCTGTAACCACCAGGCCCGCAGCTGTTCTTTTCCATCTTCCCAGTTCCAATCCCTTGAAAAACGATAACCTCGTGGTGCAAGCTGCGAACCGTAGAATACTCTCTTTTTGCATCTGATTCTCGGCTGCAGTCCTTTCTTTGGTGCTCTTAGGGTAATGTTAAAAATTAATAAGATCCCGATCAGATCAGACTCGTGAATGAAGGCAAATCTACAGCGGTCCCAGGATAACGTTGCAGGATCCAATCTGGGTCGGTCACCGGAACTGTAGATTTAGTCTTTTGAACTTTCGTGCTGGAGCCCATCCTCAGGGAACTTCTCCCTGGCAGAGTGTGTGTTTTGGGCTCTTTTGTGTGTGGCATTTATAGTGCCTATTGTAAGGCGGCTTTTTAGATGTTGATTGGGGTGTGTTGATGGCTGGCTTTTAAGTCGTCAGCTGCTGTTTCCTCGTGTGCTGCCAAGCCCTCGCCTCCTAGGTACTTGGTAAGCTGGTGGTAATTCAGCACTCCTGTTGACTGACACGGGGCCTCTTTCCCAGGCGTCAATCACTTCCCTGGCTGTTTTTGTGCCTGCCCGTCCAACAATCTTAGTAGCTGCAAAATTGAATGTGGTGTCCTTGTTCATTACGGTGTGAGGCTACCAATGATCGCTTGCTTGTGTCCTTGCAATCTGCTGGTTCGCTTCCTCTCCATCTGGCCTACCTACTCATCGGGACAATCCATGCAGGGGAGACTCAGATGAATCAATGAATCCGGAGTCGTGTGTCTACTTTCTCACTCGTAAAACCCAAGGGCTTTTGCCTGCCACAGCTGAGCAAAGACTGGGGGTCACTGATAAAGGTTTATACTTACAGCTAATCTCCGGCTTAACCATCGTTTGTTGAGTGATGGGTCGAAGTTATAACAGGCCCTCCCCCCCCCAAAAAAGTGACTTTTCCCCTCGCACGTAAAACCCTCACAGCATCCCCACCGTCCAATAAATCAAAATTCAGGTGCTTGCAAACCAACATGCATTTACAGTGGATTGCCCTTCGGGACTTTCCCAGCTGACGCCCAACAAGCAAAGTTAATTGGGGAAGCTGGATCTCCTAAACAAACCGTGATATTTATTTAACCACCACGGTAAAAAAAAAAAAATGTTGATAAAACTGGGTACAATTTGCTGAACCAGCTCCTTGTCTTAGCAAAGGACAATCTGGCTCCAAATAATAATAATAATAATAATAATAATAATAATAATAATAATAATAATAATAATAATAATAATAATAATAATAATAATAATAATAATAATAATAATAATAATAATAATAGTAATAATAATAGTAATAGTAATAATAGTAATAATAGTAATAATAGTAATAATAATAATAAAGTTGGAAGGGACCTTGGAGGTTATTGAGTACAACCCCCTGCTCAGGCAGGAAACCCTACTCCATTTCAGACAAATGGCTGTCCAATCTCTTCTTAAAAACTTCCAGTGTTGGAGCATTCACCGCTTCTGGAGGCAGGTTGTTCCACCGGTTAATTGTTCTGACTGTCAGGAAGTTTCTCCTTAGTTCTAAGTTGCTTCTCTCCTTGATCAGTTTCCATCCGTTGCTTCTCGTCTGGCCTTCAGGCGCCTCCCTCTTCTTTGGGGCAGCCCCTGAGATATTGGAACACTGCTATCATGTCCCCCCTCGTCCTTCTCTTCACTAAACTAGACATACCCAATTCCAGCAGTTGTTCCTTATATGTTTTAGCCTCCAGTCCCCTGATCATCTTTGTTGCTCTTCTCTGCACTCTTTCTAGAGTCTCAGCATCTTTTTTACATCGTGGTGACCAAAACTGGATGCAGTATTCCAAGTGTGGCCTTACTAAGGCATTGTAAAGTGGTATTAACACTTCACGTGATCTTGATTCTATCCCTCTGTTAATGCAGCCCAGCACTGTGTTGGCCTTTTTGGCAGCTGCAGCCCACGGCTGGCTCCTATTTAAGGGATTGTCACAGACTACCTGTATGGCCGCTTGCCCTTCAAGACGTCGTCCCTCTCAGCCTTGTAATGACTTTTTTTGAGGTGGGCCGAGCTGATTTGACAGCTCAGAAATCACTCATCCAGCCCCCCGTATTTCCAAGTCTATGCTGGTTGTCATCACTACATCCGAGAGAGAATTTGATAGACCAGGGCTCGTCTTGGAAGCATTTTTATTTCTTATTTTTTGCTCCCCAGTAGCTCTTTGGAACAACAACAACAGAAAAAAAGAATTTGTATGCCCGCTAAGTGCTTTGAATGGGGGTGACAGATGACAGCTGGAACAATAAGGTAGATATTGTAGGCACCGTTTCTGCCAGAAATAACATTCACGGGCGGCTTATCCTCTGTTTCTGAACCATCTCCTGGTTTCGTGTTTTAAAAGCACAAAAGAGGATAAAAGAGAATGTGGTTTTTCCACTTTCCCCGCCAGGAGGGCGAGGGGCCTGAGTTAATGAAAACCTCCCCAGGAGGCGAGCCTTCCAGTGGGTCTTTTGTGTGGCTGTTAATTTAGGTGGTGTAAAAAGGGAGATTAGGAAGAGGCTGTCAGAGGCCGCTAATCCTCACGACTATATTCCACAGCCAGGCACACGAGAACCCATCTTTTGCTGGCTCTGGGTTCATCTCCATAGCTACTACCTGAGAGTGGTGGTCTTCAGGGGTTCCCGTGAGGGTCTTTTGCAGCCTTACCTGAACGTGGCCTAGGTGATTATAGGCTCTTTGACCGGTTGGTTGGTTTGATTGACATCCGTGTTTCCCCACCTCAGCACCCTGGGGAATTAATAATAATAATAATAATAATAATAATAATAATAATAATAATAATAATAATAATAATAATAATAAAGTTGGAAGGGACCTTGGAGGTCATCTAGTCCAACCCCCAGCTCAGGCAGGAAACCCTACACCATTTCAGACAAATGGCTGTCCAGCCTCTTCTTTAAAACTTCCAGTGTTGGAGCATTCACCGCTTCTGGAGGCAGGTTGTTCCACTGGCTAATTGTTCTAACTGTCAGGAAGTTTCTCCTTAGTTCTAGGTTGCTTCTCTCCTTGATTAGTTTCCACCCGTTGCTTCTTGTCCTGCCTTCAGGCGCTTTGGAGAATAGCTTGACTCCCTCTTCTTTGGGGCAGCCCCTGAGATATTGGAAGGCTGCTATCATGTCCCCCCTCGTCCTTCTCTTCGTTAAACTAGACATACCCAATTCCAGCAACCGTTCCTAGTATGTTTTAGCCTCCAGTCCCCTAATCATCTTTGTTGCTCTTCTCTGCACTCTTTCCAGAGTCTCAACATCTTTTTTACATCGCGGTGACCAAAACCGGATGCCGTATTCCAAGTGTGGCCTTACCAAGGCCTTGTAAAGTGGTATTAATACTTCACGTGATCTTGATTCTATCCCTCTGTTAATGCAGCCTAGCACTGTGTTGGCCTTTTTGGCAGCTGCAGCACACGGTTGGCTCCTATTTAAGGGATTGTCCACTAGGACTCTGGGAATTCTGGGACTTGAGGTTTTGACACGGCTTAAAGTTGGCCGGAGTTGAGAAACATTGATTTGCCCACCCCCTTTCGTGCGAGGCGGTGTACGTAACGCTCCTTCCTGCCATTTCCCCCCACACATACACACAATAACAGTCCTGGGATGGGTTGAGAGACAGTGCTTGGTTTTTAGAGCACCCAGTGAGCTTCCTTCAGAGAGGAGATTTGAATCTGGGTCTCGCTGATGCCACACCGGGGGTCTCCAACCTCGGCAATTTTAAGACTGGTGGACTTCAACTCCTCAAATTCCCCAGCCAGCCAGCCATGCTCACCGCGTCTGCTTCGCCAAACCCATGTTCTAAATAAACCATCACTGTTTCCAGCACGCCGCTAGATCCCAAGAGGGGTTTTTTCATTGCTTCCTTCCCTTAAATATTGCGCTTTTGTTCTGATTCGAAAGGTCTCTCCTGTTTTTCACAAATCCCTGCCTGTGGCAACTCCAGGCAGGTGAGGTCCTGTCCCATCCTGTCCCGTGCCACACCTGTAGCTGCACCCCTGCATCTTCTTCCTCCTAAGAGCCAGGCTGTCTTCAGC